AATTTTTTTGCTGTTGAAAATCTTTAAGTTTGTATGTATAAACAGAGTACAATAGGTAAGAGCAGGGCCGTCTTTAACGCAGGGCAAACGGGGCAGCTGCCCCGGGCCCTGTCCCAGCTGGGGGGCCCAAGACAGCCGCTCCTTTTGCCAGCAAACTATGGGGGCCCATTGGGTGGCCCATGCACTTAGGGCCACCCGGTGGACCTGTGTCAGCAGGGGCCCGGTCGGGTGCTTTTTCGGCAGCACTGGGAGGAAGTGACAGCCGTGCGTCACTTCCTCCCACAGAAACAAGAGCCGCGCCGGAGGACCAGCTGTTCCGGAAGGGGCCAGGCCGGGAGATCTTAACTCCCAGCCACCCCAGCCAGCCCACTGGACCCCAGGGAAGCCACCCTCCAGAAAAAAGTAAGAAACTGGAGGGTGGTTATCAAATTTTGCATGAGTATCTGTGTGTGTGTGAGTATGTATGTATGTCTGTCAGTGTGCCAGTATGTCTGTCAGTGTATCTGTATGTCTGTGTGTGTGAGTCTGTCAGTGTATGTGTGGTTCTGTATGTCTGTGTTTGTCAATATGTCTGTCATTGTCTGTGTGTATGTGTGTTTCAGTATGCCCGTCTGTGTGTATATGTGCCAGTATGTCTGTCAGTGTGTCAGTATGTCTGTGTGTGTGAGTCTGTCAGTGTCTGTGTGGTTCTGTATGTTTGTGTTTGTCAATATGTCTGTCAGTGTCTGTGTGTATGTGTGTTTCAGTATGTCCATCTGTGTGTATATGTGCCAGTATGTCTGTCAGTGTGTCAGTATGTCTGTGTGTGTGAGTCGGTCAGTGTCTGTGTGGTTCAGTATGTATGTGTGTTTCAGTATGGCTGTCTGTAAGTGTCAAAATGTCTGTATGTGTGTACGTCTGTCAGTGTCTGTGTGTATGTGTGTTTCAGTATGGCTGTCTGTGAGTGTCAAAATGTATGTATGTGTGTACATCTGTCAGTGTCTGTGTGTATGTGTGTTTCAGTATGTCTGTCTGTATGTGTGCCAGAATGTCTGTATGTCTGTCAGCGTGTCAGTATGTCTACGTGCGAGTCTGTTAGTGTCCATGTGGTTCTGTATGTCTGTGTGTATGTGTGTTTCAGTATGGCTGTCTGTGTGTGTGTCTCTGTGTCAGTACGTCTGTCAGAATGTGCCTCTGTATCTGTATGTTGTCCGTTTGTGTTTGTGTGTGTATCTATATATAGTCAGTGTGTATCTGTATGTGTCCGTGTTTGTATATGTATATCTGCATGTGTGTCAGGTTGTGTATCTGTGTATCTGTGTGTCTGTATGTGTGTCAGTGTGTGTGTCGGTGTATCTATATGTAGTCAGTGTCACGATTCGGGGAACCAAACACGCCAACACACACACACACACACAAAGTGCCGTACCGGACCTTAGAGTGGCCGGGCTAAGCACACAAAGAATAGTCAGGAACAAGCCGAGTAAGGGGAACCAGAAGACAGAATAACGTGAAACAAGCCGAGGTCAAAGGGTAGGAGAAAGTCACAGAGTCGGATAACAAGCCAGAGAGTACATAACCAGAAGCACAAGTTCAGAATCAATACTAACAAGCAAAGACCACAACAGGGCAAGGAGGAACAGGAAAGGTAAGTATTTAAACCATCAGGTTAATTCTGATTGGATGATTTCCAATCAGAATTAACAATCACACGTGGGAGATATTTAGACCTCCCACTGTGATTGTGGCACTTTGCCTTTAACGCCGGGTCAGGTGACTGAACCCGGCGTGTATAACCCTGGGCGGTCTCCCAGCGTGCAGCGTCATGCATGCTGCCGCTGGGGGACGTGGAGGGAACGGCGGGCGGCATCCGAGGCTGGAAGGATGCCGCTCGCCGTACCCACGAGGCGGAGGGGACCGCGGACGGCTGGAGGGTGAGTACTGCGAGCGGAGTGCAGCCTCCCCTCGCAGCCGCCCGCGGGAGCCTGACATTACCCCCCCCTCGAAGACCACCCAGGGGGTGGGAAGCGGAAGGCTTCAAAGGAAAGCGGGCATGAAAGGAGCGGACCAAAGAGGGAGCGTGCACATCGGAGCTTGAAACCCAGGACCGCTCCTCAGGGCCGTACCCCTTCCAGTCCACCAAATATTGCAGCCGACCCCTAGAAACACGAGAGTCGAGAAGGGTAGCCACCTCGTACACGTCGTCAGAGACAGCTCGAGGGGAAACGGGCCGCCCGAGGGGACGAGAGAACCGGTTACACAGCAAGGGTTTCAAAAGCGAGACGTGAAACGTGTTCGGGACACGCATGGAAGGAGGCAAATCAAGGGAGTAGGAAACGGGATTAACCCTACGTAACACCTTGAAGGGACCAAGAAATCTGGGGGCAATTTCATCGAGGGAACCTTGAGACGGAGGTTCCGGGAGGACAACCATACCCTATCACCCGGAACATAGGAAGGGGCCGCAACCCTACGGCGATCAGCAAACTTTTTCTGAGCAGCCGCTGAACGAGACAGCGCAACATGGACTTGATCCCATGTCTTCCGCAAAGAGGCGAGGTGCTGGTCCAAGGCGGGCATTCCCTTGTCGGAGAACGCACCGGGAAGGACAGAAGGACGAAACCCATAGGCAACCTCAAAAGGACTTAAGCCAGTAGACGAATGAGTCACCGTATTCCTGGCAAATTCAGCCCACGGAAGAAGGCGAGACCAGTCATCCTGGTGCGCATTAGTGAAGCAGCGTAAATACAATTCCACAGACTGATTAGCACGTTCGGCCGCACCATTAGATTGCGGGTGATAGGAGGAAGAAAACGACAAGGAGACTCCCATCTCAGCACAAAAGCCCCTCCAAAACCGAGAGACAAATTGAGGACCCCTATCCGTTACAGTCAGTATCACCGTCTGACCATCAGAAAGAGGAAGGTCTACAATGAAATCCATGGATAAGTGGGGCCATGGTTTCTTGGGTATAGATAGAGGCATCAGAAAACCCTGGGGTCTCACATTAAGGGACTTACACTGCGTGCAGACCCGACAAGCCTGAACAAAATCCACTACGTCTCGCTTGAGTGAAGGCCACCAGAACTGTTGAAGGAGGCCCTTGTAGGTCTTGGTAACCCCCGGATGACCAGCAGTTTTGGCTGTGTGAAATAAAGTTAACAACTTTTTTCTGTCATTAGCTTCAACGTATAGTTTACCAACCGGCGTCTCAGGGGGTGCCTGGGTTTGGTATGTCTTAATACTGGTAAGGAAAGGTGAAGAAACAACCAAACGGGTAGCAGCTATTATCTGAGACTCAGGTACAATAGGTTCAGGAGACGGGTTAACAAATTCTACTGGTTCATGCTGCCGAGAGATGGCGTCAGCCTTGGCATTACGGCAACCAGGTCTATAGGTGATAACATATTGGAAGCGTGAGAGAAATAGAGACCATCTAGCCTGCCGGGCAGATAACCTTCTAGCATCAGCAATATAGGATAGATTCTTATGATCTGTTATAACCATAATTTTGTGTCTAGAACCCTCTAATAAGTACCTCCATTCCTTGAAAGCTAACACAATAGCTAATAGTTCCCTATTCCCAACATCATAATTCTTCTCTGAATCAGACAACCTTTTAGAAAAATAACAACAGGGATGGAGGGGTTTGTCATAAGACAACCTCTGTGACAGTACGGCTCCCACACCTGACTCTGAGGCGTCTACTTCCATAATAAAGGGAAGAGAAGGATCAGGGTGGTGCAGCACTGGAGCAGAGGCAAATGCCTTCTTGAGGGTTTCGAAGGCCTTA